GGTGAACACAATATTAGAAAAATATGTTAATTTTGTTTTGACTGATTCTGATTTGCACAGTTTCATCTCCTTACAATTACAGCTGTGAAAAAGTACAACCCCATGAAACGTTTTGCTTTTTACACACAAGTGGAACCATTAACATTTGATTTTCACTGAAACTTTGTAAAAAAGGTAATGTAACTGAACCCGGATTTGCCATTAAAACGGGACGATAAGTCCAAAATATTGAATTAAAAAAAACCCAAATACTGATTTTAAAATCTCTTATTTAGACAATATAAAACTCTCCCTCCCTACCTCTCCTCCCATTTGACTTTTACTCAATTGTCCTCCCCCACCATCATTACCTCAACATCTCAGAATAAATTTGCTGATAAAGTCACATTTGCTGGGGTGTACTTACTTTTTCACATCTGTACATGAATTTAGAGAGTCAGCTTTATGCTATTATTTTGCAATGCAGAGGCTAGTGGCTTTTACACATCAGTTACACAGTCAAGGTAAACAACACATGTCTATTGGCCAAATGTTCTATAAAGCCCCTCGGGGCCAATCAGTGATTTGTGATATTGGGCTATTTAAATAAACTGACTTGACAACTATCAGGGTGATTTTTGAGCTCTTGTTTTTAAGTTATGATCTATGCATAAGTTACTTCCCAGGTATGGCTCTGCGTGTTGCCATGAACATGTACTGTATGTATACATGTTGAGGATAAGCAGTTAAACTAGACATGCAGGCACAGCGTTTTAAGAAGCAGAGGAGTGAGAGTCCCTCACCTCCATGTGCGTCACCAGTCCTGGGGTTACACTGACCGGCCCAAAGCCCATACTGTTGTCCCAGATACTGTGAGAGTTCATCTAAGAGAGAGAATGACAGCATTTCATTTAAAAAAGGTCCCGAAACAAAAAGCAAACACATAAATTTAAAAGGTGATTGCATTTTTCTTTGCAGGCTTTAAAAAATACTGGTACACAGAGAGTCAGTTAACAAACTAACCTGGCCTATAGGAGCATTGCCTCTGCGCATCATGTGCTGCTGCTGCTGGTAGCTGAGCATGGACGAGGAAGGAGGGCCAGGAGGAAGGCCTGGAGCAGTGCAGAGTACAGCACAACACAGCAGATTATAGTAAAACAGAGCCAACGTTACAGAACATAAACCTTCCTCAACGGTTTAAAGTCGTCACATCGACAAGTCGGAATATAGCTGTTATCATGTTAAAAATTAAACCAATATATGATGAACATTATGAAACGGCACACCCCTAATGATGACAGAGAGTCAAAGCTTCTTTTGAAAACCTCAATACGAGCTCCCGTACAGCAAATCAAATGCTCAGAAAGAGAAGTAAAACGCATAGATTTCTGTAAAAAAAGTAACCGACTCTGTGCCTTTAATGTACGCAGATTGATCATGCTTCCTGTCGTACGTAGTCGACCCCCCACAAAAAGGTCCATTCTGAGCCAGGAAAAACTCTCGTCAAGTAAACCACGTCGTCACAAAGTAGCTAAATACAAGCAGGTGTGTCTGAAGGTGCATTTTCCTTTGTGTTAAAAAGCAAAAGCACTCAGTAGAAATGTGACACCATGGTGACAAAACAAGATAAACAACGACACCGCTGCACTGTTCAGACTGAACAAAGGACATGGTCAATTATCTGATTCACTGTGTGATCAATCTTTGGCTTGATCTAAAAATATAAGCACATCATCAAAACACCAAACAAGGGAACAGATTGTGAAAGAACAACGTTTATCCCTGCAGTTGAGTTTTAGAGAGTTAGAAAATGATTATTATTAGAATAATAATACATCTCTGTGTGGAGCTTTGTAATTATGTGTTATTGTCAACCAAAATGGCATTTGTCCTCACCTGAGGTGGAGGGCCCAGGAGGCGGCTGGTTCTGGGGGTGATGGGGATGCTGGTATGGTTGAGTGGGAAGTGGGATGGAGGAGGGCTGGGCCCGGACTCTGGGTGGGTCCGGCCCTTGCAGAGTGGACAGGCCGGATCCTGAAGAGCTGGGCGATGGACCGGGCCTCTCAGCCGCCCCGACCCCAGCGATGGCCGGGTCGGCGTCCAGGATGAGTCTGGCCAGGGACTCAGCCAAGTCACCTTCCCCTCCTCGCTCCTCCACATCTGGAGAAATGGCAGTTTTACTTTTCCAACAGGTGTATTGTTGCTCTCTACATTAGAGCTTCAAGAACCAGTCACGGGAAAATCTGTGACCAGCAATTCCGTTCACTTATCCAATCAATTTGGCCCGCTGGCAAAGCAAATTTTAATCTGTCTGAAGCGATTTAGAAGATCCTAAAACCCATAAATACCAGAAGTGTAAGGAATTGTGCGATCTTGCAGTAATTACATCACTGACCTGGGAGAGGCTGTCCAGCGGAAGACGATGAGAATTTGAGCGAAGGGAGGGAAGATGGAAGGGGGAGACGGGAGGAGAGCGAGTCCTCCGTTCCATCTGATTCTCCTCCCATCCCAAGCCCCGCTCCTAGCCCATCCTTCTCATCGAGCTCGGCGAGGCGTTTGTGTTCCTCCTGCCAGTCATCATCTGGAAGTGGATCCAGACAGAGAAGTTGTTTGTTCAGTGGCAATGAATCATCTGCGCTGCAATCTTACGCACACGTCTGACAGATTTGGGGTTTCTGGCTTATAACCCAGTGTAACAACACAGTGGGCATGTATTGTTTACATGAAGGTGACCTACAACAATAAGAACATCTACAAACACGATACAATCATCACCATCGTCAAAGTGGACTGACTCATTTTAATTCACAACAACATAATGAAAAGGAGCTACATAAAAGATTAAAGGAGCAGCGTGCAGGATTTAATATCATCTTGGGCCAGTGTATAGTCTTTTTTAGCAGCTTCTTCGACTTCGCACATCCCCTCCCTCCTTAAAAACTCAACATTTCACTCGTGCAGATATTTTCTGAGCGAGTTATCATACTGTTGCAACCCTACGACGACGGTGCACAAATGATGATTGGGCAAGAACAAAAGAAATGGAGGTGAAGGCACAAGGTTAAATTTATGAGAGAGAAGCAAACACAATTTTAACCTGAATCCTAAAAAGGGGAAAAAAGAAGTTTGTGTCATTTCATCAGCTGGTGACGTTATTAAATCGTTTGCACTTGTTTTGTGATTAAAAATGAGTAACTGATATACTGGATTTTCTAAAATAGCCTCAGAGAAGACGTGAACATGTTGCATTCAGAGAGAGTTATGCTCGAGGGTGGAGGACTAACAATGTCATTTCAAACATTCAACCTCAGAAAAACAACAAGAGATAATGACACATGATGCAAGTCTAGTAATTTAATGTCCATAACTCAAATATATTTTACACGTGACTCACCGATGGCCCCAGCTCCGAAGGTGTCGTCGTTGAACTGATCGATTTCATCCTCCTCTTCTATCAGTCCCTCGTCTTCCTCCTCCAACGTACAGTCTTCATCCAGGGACTGTAAAGACCGACAAAAGGGACAAGGAACGGCGTGAGAGGACGGTGTGGAGGAGGCAGGACACGGAGGAGGAAAAGAAACCAAGGGAGGTTGGAGAGAAGGAGGGAAGAAAAACAACCAAAGCATAAATAGTGAGATGGACATGAATGAGACTGCTGAACTACTATCGAGGGAGCTGTGAGTTGGGACTCTGATTAGGGTCCAGTTCTAGATTTGCAAGAACCAATAAACTGCTCAATATTATTCGAATGGGCTGCGCAGAAAGTTATTGATGCCAGCTCTGAGCTCAAGTCGCAAAGGCAGATCTCAGAAACTGTTTTTATCATTACATCTGACCACTATGAGCATCTGTCAGGAGGAGCTTTTTTTTTTTTGGTGAATGCTACCTTTCTCATTTCTGCTACTCATACATGAGTGTGTCATCAGTTACACCAAAGCCATAATGAGTCATTTGAGACAATCTGCAGAAAAGCAGGGTCAGGTTATGTAGAAACTAATACTGAATATTAGCTATGTTGCCAAATTAGGTCATATTTGTCAGCTTGCCTCGGTTTTTTTTAAATATAAAAGATAAATGTATATTAACACTGGCTGACCTACACTGTATATGTGTGGACAACCGTCTGCTGCTCATGCAACACAACCCCTTATAATAAGTGCGACACTGATTTAATTTTAGGCCCAGCTGGTGGGGTTGCGCTTATGAGAATTATTCAAGTGAATTCAACAATTAAAGTTGAGTGAAAACGCTGCTCGACTTAAACACTAGTGAATTCATCAGTGAACATTTCGGCCTTGCAGCGACTCTGAATAGCCGATTAGCACCTTAGCTGACCAGCAGCAGATTAACTCAAGACACCGGACCGCTTAGTAGCTCCCCTCTAAATTACTAACTAAATTTAAGTCATCAGAATAAAGAGATTTTTTTTCCACCCCCCCCTCCAGGACGGTCTGGCACCCTGCAGGTAGCGAGAGAACCAGTTAGCCACAGAGCTAATGCTGACGTTACATCACGCTGGACCCACGTCGAAGGGAACCCGCTGCCCTAAAACCAACAAATATGCTGCTGTGTGGAAGGAGCTGTGAACTAGCGCACACTGGCCCTTCACAACCGACATTTATTAATGAAACAATGAGCTCCTACCCTCACCCACCCTGCGGCGCATGTCACCAGGCGAGCGGGCTGCTTCACAGGCCGCCAACCGCACTGAACGCGACCGTCGCATAAACAATAAACAACATTCAGCACGCGAATCCCCACCGGCTCCCTTTCAAACACCTGAAAGTGTCCGCGGGAAAAAAAAAAGGCACACCTGTGTTTTTTTTTTTTTGAGGTACAACGCTCACCTGAAATCGAAACATCTATCTTTAGGCTTTCGGGAGAAGAAGTGCATCGGGAGAGAGGCGGCGCGTAAATGACGCAGTCACAACGTGCCCTTCAACGTGCGCTACGGAACGACGTGACCGAGCACGCACGGGCGGGAGGCGGCGTTTCTGAGTGACGCTTTCTCGCTGCTGGACAGGAGGAAGCGCTGAGCAGACTCTGCAAACTCTCACGCAGTTGAGCGTGAGACTCGCGCAAATGACACTTTTCACGCGCCCTCACGCCATGCATCACTTTTCTTCTCACGCATTGGAAAAACTAAACTAAACGTTGTTCTTTCACGCGATTACACTCCACCCACCCAGCTGATGCGACAGCGGCGGACGCTGTGACGGGAATCAAGCGAGCCCGCCTTCGCGCAGTGAGTGGCAGACGGTGATCGCGTCACGTCGCTTGGTAGAGTTTTGCGGTATAAAAACATTATATGTATGATCTGAAGCGCAGCCTTGCTCTGTTGGGAACGTGAGCTGCACAGAGCTGCTGAAGTTAACATGTCAGGATTTGTGGTGAAGTGTTTTCAGTTAGTTTCGTTTTGCACAGGTCTCATCCGGACAGTCTGTCTGGGATTCAATCTGTAATGAACAGCAGATTATGGGGAGGCGAGAATATGAAAAATATTGTGATTAAATGATGACGTTATTCTCATAAAAATCTTTCTGGAGATGTCAGATTACACAGATATGTGGAATAGATGCAAAAAAGCTTTGAAGATTCAGTCCAGGAGTTTCTAACTGAGGTGAAGAGGTGCCACATTTAAAGAGGAACTTCCCCAAACAAAGACACAAAAGGGGAGGGAGGAGTAAATCATGAAAGTAGGCTTTAAAGCCTACTGAATTCTGGTATATTTTATATTTTAAATTGTCACCTGCTGGCTGAGTTTTGTGTTTCTGTTGACATAGCCTAGATAAAAACATTTCCACCATAAATTGATGCAGAAAAATTCACCAGAATGCAGAAAATTAAGTTGAAAAATTGGCAGCCGTGCGCAGAGAGAAACACAAACAACAACAGAAACGGCAAACAAAACTGGGCATCAGTCTTTATTATAACAGTAACTTCCACCTCGGTTGTTGTTTTACGTATAGCTTGTCATTATATTCATTTATTAAATGTAATCCGTAAATCGCCATGAGTAGTTGTTTTGTGTTTGTGTAGGCTTCAAATGTATTTTTTTTTTCAGTCTTTGTTTTTGTGTCATTGTGTAATGTGCATTTAGAATACGTACCTGCACACCTGCTACTGTAAGAGGGTTAGATTTGATCTTTTTGTGTGTTTATGAAGGTGTGTGTGTGTGTGAGTCACCTTTGACCCCCCAGCTATGGTGATGCAGCAGCTCTGCACATTAGAGCACCTGATGAATTCAGGGTTTGGCCGCCCTTTCCCACGACACGGCCTTCAGCTCCTGTTTTGGTTTGCCAACCACTGTGTCACTTGGGAACTCATTAACTGTGTGGTCATTATGAAGGTACGTTTTAGATTAATTTTTTTACTATTTTTCTTTTCTTATTAATTAGTAATAACACTGGTTTCAGGAACTTTAATATGTGTCAAGAAAAACAATGGGTGATGCCCCTGCTGTAATATGGACCATTTCCAATTAAATAATAATAATAATAATAATAATAATAATCCTTATTTGTACAGCACTTTTCAAAAACAAGTTACAAAGTGCTTTAACAAGTGTAAAGAATAATACAAAAAAACAAGATAAGAGCTTGAAAAATGTATATAAAATTAGTAAAATACAATAAAATAAAAGGGATAAAATAAAGTCAAATAAGATCGGGAAAAGCTCTCCTATAAAAGTATGTTTTAAGAAGGGACTTAAAAGAGTTCACTGACTCAGCCGACCTGATTTCCTCGGGCAGGCTGTTCCAGAGCCTCGGGGCCCTGACAGCAAACGCTCTGTCCCCTTTAGTTTTCAGTCGAGACTCTGGAACAGACAACAGACCTCTGCCCGAGGATCTCAAGGTACGTGCTGGTGCGTATGGGACTAAAAGGTCAGAAATATAACAAGGCGAGAGGCCATGAAGAGCTTTAAAAGTGATCAATAGAATTTTAAAGTCAATTCTAAAACATACTGGGAGCCAGTGTAATGAAGCTAAAACAGGGTAATGTGGTCATATTTCTTTGTTCTGGTTAAAAGCCTGGCAGCTGAGTTCTGGACAGTCTGGAGTCGATCAGTAGATTTTTGGGTTAAACAGGTGAAAAGGCTGTTGCAATAATCCAGGTGTGATGAGATGAAGGCGTGTAAAATGGTCTCGGTGTTCTTAAAAGTTAACATAGATCGAATTTTTGCTATATTTCTAAGTTGAAAAAAACATGATTGAACAATGTATGTGTGTAAGAAAGAAGTGAGTGAGTGATCAGAGTCTGTTGCCCCAGCTGGTGTCAGATTGTCAACCAGAGAATGGCGTCTACGGCTTCCACCGGTTTGGTAATATTGAGGAACTTCTGCCTGTACTGGACAGGCCCAGGAAGAGCAAGAGTAAGAGAAAGGTTTGTGATATGTTTTGTTAATTGGTGACTTTTTTTCTTTCTTTTATTGCGGTCCTTGCACTTCAACTTACATAAAAATCAGTGTAGCCTACTACAGCCTGTGAAAACAGGTGTCTTTTCATCCTCTGCAGGAGCTTTGTTAAACCTGAGATGATGTCACCAGGGTTATCTTAGCTTAGTCTTGAACACTACAAGTTTAAAACAGAGACAGGGGCGTTGAGATTTAAATACATTACACAAAGAGGTACAATCCAGCTGCATAATGCAAAGTGTTTTTGGAACCTTACCCACGCAAGTGAATAAAATTCAGGATATCCAAGCAGCTTCAATTATGACCATTCTCCTTTTTTTTTTAAAAGTAAAACCTGACAGTCTACTAGCTTACATTTTTTTTCTACCAGCCATCGCATTCAAATACATATCTTCATCTCTCCCCCTCTCTTTCTTTTTATCTCTCTCTCCAGCTTGCATACTTTGAAGTTGGCAACCTGAACACAGAGACCTATCCAGCTTCTGCAAACCTCCCAACATATGTGAGGGAAAATTACGGACTGTATGGTAACTGTAGTAATTACAACATAGACCGCATCATCATCAGTTACCAGGTGAGAACCAGGGTGGTGGAGATGGTGTATGTCACCGAGCACGACGGAGCTGCCTTTGGGAGGTTCAGTCCTGACAGGACTTATGAAATCAGCTCTGAACTGATTCAAACCTTGCAGAGCCTGCAGCTAGACCTCGACACCTTTCTCACCCACACTGGCTACTGGGGAGACCTACAGGTGGTTCAGTCTAACCACATAGAAGAGATACACCACCCAGAACCTTCAGCCCAGCAAATGTTCAACATGGTGCAGACCTACAGTGGATGTACAGCAAGAACAGAGCAAAGAAATGACTTACGATTCTTCTCAGAAGCCTTCAACCAGCAGCTAGATGTCAACATGGAGCCCTTCGGCTATGACCAGCAAGTGCAATACGTCTTCAATGTGACCTCACACAACAGTGCACTTGTGACTAACTACAGTGAAGTGCAATATAAACACATGTGGCCTGAAGCCAGAGATTTGAGGCCCAGTTATTGGCTGTCCGGCTGGAAGAATCCTTATAGAGGTAAAGGTTCAGTCAGCATTTGCTTCTGTATGTGTCTCACAGTTCTTTGCATTTCTGCAGTGGGATTATTCCACCGTGAGCAACGTCTCAACTTAATAAAAGGGAATTTTGAATGCCAAAAAGTGGACGTCAGAGTGTACAACTGCAATATGAGTGACTGACTAGCTACAGTGATAAAAGGGTCAGTTCACCCAAATAAAATTTTTTCTCTTATCTCTAGTCGTTTCTAGCCATGCACATACTAGTTTTAGTTTTTTCCCAGGTGTTCATACATCTGTCTTTGAGGGTAATACGATGGGTAATCCACAGAACATGCTGTTCCAGGAGTTACCTAATCCTGAAGAAGTAGTCCCTTTAAAACGTGCCAACATTGTGGTCTGTGGATTATTCAGTAAAGGGGGGCATTATGTCTGGAAAGGAAGGTTGGTGTTGATTTTTATAAATGTAATTTTCAATGCTGTGAGCACCACAAACTAAATTTTAATCATCTCCGTCCTATTGGAGGAGACCAGGTAAACATTAGATGAATATCTCAGTATCCATTAACATTAAAGAAACAAAGTTTGTGCATAGTTTATCAAAAAAGACTAGTAACCACCAGAGTGAACCCGTAGTTGAACAAACTATATACATACTGTTTATCTGCTGCCACTTCATCACAGAATTCAAATCAGCACTGCTGTGTCCTATAAAAAGCAGTCCAGCTTATAAAATGCAGGAAAACATGACAGGACAGATTTAATTGTTGCTTGACCCTTTGTGGATTTCTGTCTCTAGGTTTTGATGAAGAAGCCAAGAAAAGGAACGGAGGTGGCGGCTTCAGCTTGTTCAAAATTCTCCTCAGTGCTGGAGTGCTCTATTTGGCGGCCAAATGTTTCGGCTGGCTGAGGAACTGCTGCAAGGTGGACTTAAATGAAAACGTCCTCAAGATGATACCATGGAGGACTCCAAGTTATCAGCAGACACACATCATGCTGGATTATGTGTACTAGCATTTTAGGGTGCATACGTTTGTAATGGTAACGTATATTGGAGTCCTGATATTCTATACATTGCATTGTAATTTTAATGTAATCTTCTAAAGATCAGATCTAAAGGTGTAACGTCTCGATTAACCCGTACTACGAAAAGGTGGATAGGTGTTACCCGAGGTCTGTCGCCATGGCAATTTATACTGCACCTCTAAACTGCACCGAGCAGGTTATGTTCGTAGTTAACTCGAGGTTACGCTGTATACGTGGACTGCACACCACATCTGTACTCTGTGTCAATGATCAGAAGGAGGTTATTAACACACACCACACAGTAAAATCAGCATACCCAAATTAAATCAAATCCAAAATGCTTTTGGACACCGATATCGTCCTACGGAGACTGGCTGAAGCACCAAAGCCTTGTAGGCGTCCTTGTTGTACTTTTGAGATGTGACAGTAAGCTTAGGCCTATTTGTGTTTTGCTCCAAAGTCTGTTTCACACATCCTGTTGCAGCTGTTAAAATAAATGGGTTTCATTTTTATGTGAGGCTGAATATTATGAGCATATATGGGATATTGAAATTAAGTTTAATATGTGTTTATTTTAGGTTAGTAGCTATGTTGTATTACAGAGACTGGTCATGTACCGCCCCACCTTTGTAATGCGGGGGTGTTTCATTAGCTATATTGAGATTCAGTCTTTCAGTCACTGTTTCAGAACACTTTATGGCGTGGATTTTTTGTTTCCTTGCTTCATGAAGTTAATTTTGAACAATGTTTGGCACACTTTTGAAATATGTTTTTTTTATAATATTATATTGAAAAGTGTTAAATAAATGAATCTGATTTTTGAAGTGGTGAGAAGTTCTTAAAAATGAGTTGAACGGCCACTTATTCACTTTTAATGTGGAAATGCTGACACGCAGCCGAGCTGAAAGAGTAAGGCGCACACACACACACACACACTCACACACACACACAGCATCAGATTACATCAAATAAATAAATTCATAGAGTCTTCCAAACAGGTGTTACTAGAACATTCTGTGTATTTTTCAATCAAAACGCTGTCCCAACTTTTGTTGCGTGTGTTACAGGCATGAAATTCTAACTTTACTTTGTATTTACAAAAATACAATTAAATACAACAGAATGCTGGTCAGTAAAAATCTTTTCTTTTTACTTGTCAGTTACATCAAGGTTCACATGAATTAACAAAATCACAGATTTTTGTTTTTATTGCATTTTGGAAAATATTATAAAACATTTCTTAAATTGGGGTTTGTACATACCTAATGGTGGATCTTATAGATGATTATGATGATGGCGATGATGAAGTATGTTTATTCCCATGAGTAATAAGGACAGAAATAATATGAAAAAAGTAATTGTGAAACAATAAAACATGGACATTTTTTAGAAACACTTCAGGTGAATTACAGCGGCAAGAAATTAGAAAAACCTGCACGTGTAAGTTATGGCATTCATCAAACTTTGCCATCGGGATTCAAATCCAAATTAAATCCTTGTAACAATATGAATTGTCACATGCTGTTCATCAAGTTAGAGAACATGATGAAAGAGTGCACAATTGCAGCTAAATAAAATCCGATGCACCTGTAACATAGAAGTTTTCAGGAGCATGGAGTTTTATAGCTTTAGGGATGGCAATATCTGGACCACAAAAGATGAATCCTTTTGACTTTGAACCACAAATGTCAAGCTCAGCAGAGTGAAATATATATTTCAGTTCAATTAAATGGGGCTTTATTGGCATGGGAAGCTAACATTAAGATTGCCAAAGCAAGTGTGAAATAAAAACATTTACATAAAGAGAAGAATTGTGCTATTAAAAAAAAATATATATATACACACACTTATATTAAACTGATATAATCAGTAATAATTATTAATAATCATGTTAAAAATTAAAAATGTACACTTGCAGTTAAATGCAAGAACTATATAAACACTGCAACAATTTTTAAAACTAATGTGAATGATCAATGTCAATTGTGTCAATGATTTAACACAATGGTAAAAATAACAGGTTAAATTAGAAGTTTTCTGGTGTCTGCATTGTGACAGGTTAACACTTTACCAAATAATACCCTTTTGTTATAATTTCTAAATAAAACACCTGAAAGCACTGTGTGTCATATTTGCCACTAAGGAACTAATGAGACACATGAAATGACTGAAAAATCTACCAGTGAGTGGGTGTCAGGCTCATAAAGTGTCAGTAGGTGGCAGGAGGGAGACTCAGTAAAAGTGATGAGGTGAAGTCTCCGATCTCTACAACTACAGTCTGGTTGACAGCTGGATTGTGTGATTTCCTGTAACTGGACTAGTGGACATTTTGAGGATAACTAGTTAACTAGTTAACATGTAAGCGACAACACGCAGCCACAAGTCACACTAACTGCAGTTCCTCAGGTCAACATGATGACTAGTGCACAACATGCAAAGAAAAAGGACTAGTTAAAGACAAAAACCTGAGTCCAGATTGGTCGGCACTTTTTAATTTGGTTAAAAAGTTAACTACTGTTATTACTACTGCTCCCACTGCCATTGTCGCACAGGCTTAACTCGACAGTGATCACGGTTCCCACCCTGAGCAGACGACAGGACAATGGCCACCGTGTGAATGTGGGGAATTGTCTGTCTCTGTTCCCCCTTCCTGTGGGAAAAAAAAAAAAAAAAAATTCCCTTTTGTTAGATTACAGTATCTGCTGCACCTGCCTGCAGGCCTCAAACCATAACTGTCACCTGAACGACAGATGGCGGACGGGGACAGAGAGGACAGAGTACTTTGTGTTGCTCAGCACAGGAAAGGTTAGCTTACATTACACACAGGTTTTTTTTAATTTGTCTAATTCTCTTATCTTCTGTGGATTCTAATTTCCATTTTTTTTTGTTGCCGTCTCAATAAAAATATTTTTATATTTCAGATTAATATCTTGAATTCCTTTTTCGAAAACTGTAAAAATAGAGAAGTGTGGGTGGGGAGTTCATCAGGGATGCTATTTATAGCATCTACAATGCTTTCATACGCCACATCTTTATCATCTGCAAGGTTTGACAACACACTTTGTTTTGAAATCGCAGTATGACCTTAAAATGTGGCTATAACCTGGCAACGGATGAAATTTATGAGCTTGTTGTATCAAGCGTCGCACAGTAACCGTTAATGATGGGAGACAAATATTCAGTAAAGAAAATGCACTACAACAAAAACAATACAACACATGTAAAAGTAATGAAAGGGATTCATCAAACAGTGTCGATGTGAGAATATCAAGACCTTTATATTTCCCCGTCTCTAGAATTTCTCAGTTTCTCGTGTATTTGGGAAGATTGTTGTTTATATTTCATAAACATCCGTAGTGTCTGTATAAATCGGCACCAAGCGTTGAGCCTCCAGCTTATAATAGATTGTTTTCAGATTGGAGTGATCAGCATTTCCTGATGGTTCTTGTACATTTTCTCCCTGGAAAACACAAACAAAGGGAAGTGAGCTATTGCATGAAGAATGTGAGTGGGAGTGGTTTTCACTGGAAACGCAGCCAGAGGAAGTTATCTGTCTGGAACTTGGGTCCCAGTGGAAGAACTTAAGAGTAAGATCAAATAGAGACGTTACCGTGCTGATCTAGATGGCGGTCAAGGAAGGACATAGAATTAGAGCTAAATTATTACAAGCAATAATTTTGATCAAAACATGTAAATATTACCACTGTTGCGTGTAGGTTTCCAGTCACTGTATTTGTTAGGGTACACAAACTTTGCGTGTAACTATCCAACGAAGGTTAAAATCAAGGGCAACTGGCATTCGTTGAAGATACTGGAAGACGTTTCGTCCCTCATCCAAAGGACTTCTTCAGTTCTGACTGACTGACTGACTTTGCGTGTAACTGTTAACCGGTTGTGTTAACGCCTAACAGTCTGAATTGAAAGCAATACAAAAGGCCTGAGAGCCTCACTGCTTTATATTCCATTATATTTTCAATCTTCACCTGCCACCTGCTCTGTGTTTCTTCTGTTAGTTTAGTCCATGTCTCTGTGTCTAGTCCTGCTATAGTCTAACACTTTTTGGCTGCACATCCATTATGAGAATCTCCCGTTCTATCCCATCCCAAAGGTGCTCTGTTTGAATTGAGATCTGGTGAATGTGGAGCCCAGCGAACTCATTGTCATGCTCAAGAAACCAGTTTGAGATGATTTGAGCTTTGTGACATGGTGCATTATCCTGCTGGAAGACGCCATCAGAAGATGGGGACACTGTGGTCATAAAGGGATGGACATGGTCAGCATGGGATGTCGCGTTTAAACGATGCTCAGTTGGTACTGAGGAAGAAAATATCCCTCACACCATTACACCACAGGAAAGGTTCACTTTGTTCATGTTGTTTTGACCCTACCATCTGAATATCGCAGCTGAAATCCAGACTGTCAGGCTGCGTTTTTATATCTTCTGTTGTCCAATGTTGGTGAGCCTGTGTGAACTGTAGCCTCAGTTTCCTGTTGTGGTCTTCTGCTGCTGTAGCCCATCTGCTTGTTGAGTTGCTGTTGCCTTTCGGTCATGTAGAACCAGTCTGCCCATTCTCCTCTGACATCAACAAGGCATTTTCGTCCACAAAACTGCTGCTCACTGGATATTTTCTCTTTTTCCGACCATTCTCTGTAAACCCTACAGATGGTTGCGCGTGAAAATCCCAGTAGATCAACAACAACCATGCCACGTTCAAAGTCACTAAAAATCCCCTTTCTTCCCCGTTCTGATGCTCGGTTTGAACTTCAGCAAGTTGTCTTGACCACGTCTATGTGCCTGAGTTGGTGTGATGTGATTGGCTGATTAGCTATTTGTGTTAATAAGCAATTAAACCGGTGTACCTAATAAAGTGGCTGGTGAGTTATGTTGTCTGTGCCTGCCCGCCCTGCTAATGCGCTCTTGTCTAAATAGTTGGCAGCTCTGTTCAGTCTCTGTCGTGTCATCATCGTTTGTATCTGCTTGTCTCAGCGTATTTGTTTCCTCTGCTAGATTCTTGGACATTTACCCGTTGTAGAGTCATGATTCCTCTTTTGGAATTATTACCTTTGTTTGGATCCTTGCCTGCCATGAGGTACATGTCAGCCTTCTCTGCGGTTAATGTTGCAAATTAACCAGTGACTCTCCGTGTCTTGCGTTTGGACCCAAAACTCTGTTTCTCTGCCTTTGCACTCAGTATGTTTACATAAATAAATATATTTCCACCATAAATTGAATTAAATTAAAGCTGATAGTGATGATAAAACTGTCTTTTGATACAGCTCTTGTGCATCGTTTGATTATGACGCTCACACGTTTCAACACAGTATCCTATTAACACGTTATTTTAGATTCTAAGTGAAGAAAAATAAATAAAAAGAATAGAAATAAAATGATAAGATTTGTGTAGGCTATTCTGATCTTCTATAATGGTAAAAGTTTCAGCGTCACAAATTACAGACTTGCTATTGTACAGTGCTATTATCTGTCAGTAGGCTGCAAAAGTCAAACTATCGACCCTGTCAGAAGCAGCGTCCCGAGTTAGATTTCATCAGTGCCTCAGATTTATAATTAATCATGACAGTGTCAGTAAAAACACCCTCTTTTATGACTATATTACACTGTGGTAAAATAAAATCAATCTAAGCTTGAAATGTATGCTACATAGCCCATATTTGAAACTCTTTTTAGGGGAATCATCCTCCATTCATGCTCAGAAATTTTGCTGCATAAGATCCTAAAAAAGAAATAACATAATGGCATAAAATTCTGTGGGGGTGCATCAGCATAATGTATCCCCTCCAATGTTGAAAGGAAACCTACACCCTTGTGTGCATGAGTGCTGTGATTTTCATAAAAAAAAAACAAATTGTTTAGGATCATCATTACAATTAAGGGTGTATTTGTGTACCAACCTGACTGCGTCTGTCTTCACATATTTGTATGTCACTGTACTCCACATCTGATCCTCTGTTCACTGCATCTGCAAAGAGGCAAAGACTTAGAGATACAAAGTGCTTTACAAAAAAAGCAAAACGTGAAAGTAATATCAAAGACAAGCCAAACTTGTTCAAGAACAACAACAACAACAACAACTCTGGCTTCCTGTTAAAATGAGCCCTGAGTGAAGAAGCCAGCACCAGGGCAATATGGGAACACTGACTTTAGTTAGTAAAGCAGCAGAATTTTGATCTAGTTGTCTTAGTTATCTAGAGTCTTCAGTCTGCTGGAATGGTTTATGGATAGAAGTGATATGTTGATCAAAACTGAGTTTTTGAGTCACCTTTTTGTTGTGATTTAAATACAGAAAACTGAGACATCCAGACACTTTTCACAAATACAAAATGCTGATCCGAGTCCTGTAATATTTGGTATCTCTGATACGGAGGTCCAATCCATTTTATATTTACCTAAATTAAATATGATAATAATATATTAAATATGTAAAAGGACACATTCAAATGACAGCTGTAGCCTTCGAAGTTTGGTACACATTATTTTTAATGAGCTATTTGGACAAAACACTGAATGCCCTGTTTCAAACCAAAAGATAATTAGCTTAAATTATTGATTTGATATTGAAGTCAGTTTAACTGGTAGAATGTGACTCCTGGAACCTAAATGCACCAAAACATTGCTTTGGAAATGCAACGTAGCCAAATAATCATAAATGCCTACTAGTAATGTTGATAAGCTCATTTAGACTAAAATATTCTGTTTTACCTGCATTTAAAGGGCTTAAATATCTTTTTGTCCACACAGGATTTTTTTTTCCTGGCCAACAGGGGCTCTTTAGATAGTAATGGTTACCGACCCCTCCTCTGTGCCTCTGAAACCAGACTGGAATTTGTCAAATAAATGGTTTTCCACTAACAAAAGCATGCGTAGCAAATAAGCAACATGCACATACATAGCATGCATTTCAGGCTATCCTAGCACATGACCAAGGAAAACATTTATCTCATTGAAAAAGGGAGTCAGACAGGTATACACAATCTAACTTCAAGGTTTAAGGTCCTACCCCACCTTATGATAGGTGACCAAAACTGTTGGTGAAATGATGGAAATTTCAAAAGTGAGTAATATTAATGCACAGTTAATGTCTCACTAGTAACTATCTGCACCACACAGTGCATCTGGAAAGTATTCACTTTTACCTTTTCCACATTTTATTACAGCCTTATTCCAAAATGGATGAAATTCATTTATTTCCTCAAAATTCTACAAACAATATCCCACAATGACAATATGAAAGAGTTGTAGTTTTAAAAGCCAGAGCCCAGACTGACTGAACATCTCTGGAGAGATCTGAAAATGGATGTGCACCGAAGCTCCCCATCCAGCCTGATGGAGCTTGAGAGGTCCCCCAAAGAAGAATGGGAGAAACTTCCCAGAAATAGGTGTACCAAGCTTGTAGCATCATACTCAAAAAGACTGCAACTGGTGCCAAACGTGCTTCTACAAAGTACTGAGCAAAGGCTGTGAATACTTTCTGCTTTTTTCCCCCTTTAATAAATTTGCAAAGATTTCAAACAAACTTCTTTCATGTAGTCATTGCGGGATATTGTTTGTAGAATTGAAGAAAACAACACATTTTATTCATTTTACAGTCAGGCTGTAACATAATAAAACGTGGAAGCGTTGTGAAAACTTTCAAGATGCACTGCATGCTGGTTTTAGTGACAGGAAAGGGATGCTCGTGATCATATAAACACTTACGTTTACAGATACACAAACCTCGTATGACTCAACATGTGTATGTGTACTTGGTAGATTCAAAGAAGTGTTTAATATGTATTTGATCTGCTCTCAAAGTAAACAGTCCATGTAGAGAGCAAACGAGGCAGAAAGCATTGGCTGAACTGTTGTCTCATATTCGTTATCTGGGAAATACACTGGAAGCCCCAAAGCTTTGGCCGGTCAGGAAACCATCCTGGAGGGGAAATTCTTTTTCACAGTACTGTACACCACAAATGTGACTCGTGCGTCAACAGGAAGTACATTGACGTTATACAATAGCACCATAAATACAAAGGGGGCCGCTGTTAAGTTTAACCAAGCAGTTCTTTAAAACAGTGACACTGATGGTTCTTTAACACTGACAATAGTTTTTGCGCCTCTATTTATAAAACTGCTTCAAGTGAAGTTTTGGATCCTTAATATTTAATCCTGTTTGCAGATTTAAGAATCATCAAAAGCTGTTCAATAACATATTTAAAGTCCTGCACAGTTTACTTCCATAGTGCTACTAGAGGTAAACACTCTACTAGATGACTGATATACAGGTGCATCTAAAAAAACTGAAATCATTTTTTTTTGGAGCTGCACCTGTCCACTACTGCAAATTATATTCATGTTGTCACACACATCCTATTAGTTTTGGAATTTAATTTGGATTTGAAACCCGATGGCAAAGTTTGATGAACGCCCAGTCTGACAGCTGCAGCTCAAAATTGTAATTAATTACTAATTTTCTGAGATGCACCTGTATAAATATAGAGACAGAAAGAGATAGACAGGATAGATTAAATTAGATTGATAAAAAGGGGGAGATATAAAGGTATAGCAGAAGATATAAATTAAATAGTTAATTTCACATTACTGGAGAGATTAATGATTTCACACCAAAAAACTTTTAACATGAAAATCACTGAGAAAAATACTAGATTTGTTTTTAAAAGAACAAACAATGGGCTGTACGGTACATCCTTAAATCTGACTGTCTATTCCAGTCTGTGCATAAATGTGATTCAGTCGCTTGATAAATGTTTAGCAAAGAACTTCCTTTACTCGTAAGGCTCTTATTCTTAAATATTCTTAGTTTGGTGAATAAAAGGCAGGCTCCGTTCAAACAGTGATTTCACCCCAGTTTTGCACAACAGAGATAAAATTATCAAGTACTTTACAAGAAAAAAAAGCAGATAAGGTGAATGTCTAAAAAAATACAATCATTTTGGGAGCCGATACGTGGAAACCACCCGAGAAAACATGCTCAGGGAAGTTCTCAAATGGTCTTTTGTCAACCCAATGATGTAAATGTAATCCCAACCCATCTCTCAGCTCCATTTACATACAACCACAGTCAAATGTGGAAAGTACCTTCTGTTCACTGGAAAAACTCAAAGATCACTTTTCCTGTGTATATTATTTTGAAAATGCTGACGGGTCCAAAATGAATGTTTTGCTTATCTCTATATCTCTATAATAGTATAACGACATGGGTATCGTGTGTCTCTGTTTTCCATTTAGTGTGGGGAAAAAACAGAAATGGCTGGAAGTGCCTGGCTTCCCTCCAGTACCAAGTGTCCAACAACAAAAGAAGGTATCGCAATGACTGCTAGCAGGAAATCAAAGGGGTTTGGGCCCAAATTCAGACATTAGAGGCAGAGCAGGTTGAGTTTTTTTTTAATTTAGAAAAAAACACAACATGGGCAACGGGCTGGTGATATGGCAGGCAGAGATCAAAACCAGGATAGCAGTCCAACATGCAAACAAATCTGATAGGAAGCAGGCAAGAACTGACATGCGCAATCCAGAATACAAAATCCAGCAACAGGCAGTCCAAAAACACAAGGAAATAGAAACAAGAAATACAAAATACAAGGGTAAAGTAGCAAAGAAAAAGGGGAATAGCAAGACTAAACTAGAGCTAACAAGGGACAGGTGAAACTAAACTGATAATCAGGGAGCACACAAACAGAAAACTTCAAACTTAAACAGGAAGGAACAAACAAAAAATGACAATGACTAAAACACAACAGAGAGTGAGAGTGAAGAGACCGAAACGAGAGGGAAACAAAATAAGTACATAATCTACTAGGCCTACAACAGGAAATGGAAAATAAATGACACAATGACATAAAACATGAAATAACAGGGAGAACGTTCAGCTTTTGCTCTTTGGTGTCAGCTGAAGGAGTTTTAAGGGCTGAAAAAAACCACACAGAGTTAAATAAATAAATGTGTGGCAAATAAACGCAGGTCTCAATTAGAAGCCGGGTCCGTTAGTTATAGCATGTATTTAAAAATAAGTTCTCTGTATGTATAAACCTTCTTAAAAGCCCGCCGGGTAACCTCCTTGAGCTAAGCTGCTTAGATCATGCATACAAATATCTATGTTAGTAAATGTGAAGTTTTGGGCGAGTTGGCGGTGTTTAGTTGTGGACTGTTTTCAACATGGCGGCCTAAATCTATAGCCACTGCATTCATTACTCTACCACAAAAGATTAATCACATGACTGAGTCTGTCTCACTCCATTCCACCAGGAAATATACAGGTTGTCCAACGAACTGGCAACTAGAGGGGGACACGGGAGTGGATTTTCACCGTCCCATCCTGTTCCCCATTCTTCTATACTGGAATGGAAGTGTGACATCTAGTGGCTGAATTTTAACGATGTTATCAATAGCTCCAAAATATTTAGAGGCATGATAACAAACAGTGGGGAATAAGCCTCTTATCTTGTGTTATTACAGCTGTCTCTGAAGCATGGGGAGCTCTGCCCTGGGCTATATATAAAATACTAAAAAATCGGGATAAAATCTATAATCAAAAAAAAAAAAATCTGTAATCAAGCAGTGAGATTAAGAAAACACTAAAACAAATACCTGCCTTGTGCTTGTCTGGTTCTCCTCTTGTCAAAATATTTCCACTTGATGTTACAGGCAACAAGTATAATAATTACAGTAGCCACTATTGAGATTGCAATTCCGATCATATCTGTCAAACAAAACACACGACATCAACAAAAAACAGTCAACAACATGAACCAATTAAAAGATCCTTTAAAATATGAGAATATTACTTTTGTATTCAGTGTTAGAATCGGTCTTACGATGTCTTGTGTCTGTCGCCGTGTCGTTTTGTCCACTGCAGGATGTGGAAACATGGACTGCATGAGTCTTATTTTCAGCAGGGTTGGCTGCCACACATCTGTAAGAGGAGCTGAAGTCCTGCTTGTGTACTGTGAGAGGCAGAGAGAGCGCAGAGCTGCTCTGGTTCACTATTTCCTCGTCTTTGTACCACAACAGTGACGTCTCTTCGGCTTTCTCCACTAAACACAGTAAGGTGCAGCTGTCAGCGCTCACACTTGTTACCTTCACTGCAGGAGTCGGGACAGACTCTGGAGAAGAAATTGGTGGAGATTAAACAGAGCAATGATGTCACAAATACACAGGCAAAGGAAATGTGACTTACCATACACAGTGAGTTTATAAGAGCTAGTGAAGACTCTTCCTTTTTTAGAGTCAATATAATAAATCCCAGAGTCAGTCCTCTGCAGGCCCGAGAGTGTAAAGAGTCCAGTGTTGCTGTTCAAGAGAAGTCTGTCCTTATAAATCTCCTCCAATATTGTGATTTTCCTCTCAGTCACCATAGCAATAGGCTTTCCTCCTAATGAAAGAAATCCCAACTCCACAACAGGGTCAGGTAGAGTGATGGATCCTCCCTCAGCGCCCGTCAGGTTCTTCACTTCATCCGTCGCAGATGAAATCATCACTGTAAAATACAGAGTGGTACAACAGTCAACACAGATGCACAGCAAACAAGTCAACAGTGAGATGTAAGCTCACGACTTCCAGAATGTCTATTGCAGCCATGTGAAATACTTTATAACCATGTGAATAAAATCCCTTTTAGTGACTGCCCTTTACGGTCTGTCACATTTTTTATAATTAACCTGTCCATTACATATTACCTGTCCGTTTGTGGCCCATCACTGATTCTGAGGAGTGAATCATTTTCCTCAGTCAGTTGGATCCATACATTTTCTCTCTTTCTGATACTGGTGGTTACAAATTAAACATTAACAACAAATGCATCTTCTATATTTTTAAAAGCAGCAAACAAGTTAAACCTGTCTTGATGAGATAAAAGAAGCAAACAGCTCCATTGTACTTTCACTCCTAGCTGCAGGTGAATAGCGGCCGCAGGGTTTTTGCATTATGTTTGCAGTTTTGGGTCACACCAACAGGCACGCTCAGTGAAGCACCAAACATTTTGCTTTCACCGAGCAGGACACATGATGTGAACACGCCTCACTGGGCAGACAGCATTGTCGTTATAAGCCAGTGAAAAGTGAGTCTGCGTCAATTTAGCAACAGTTGTCTCCCAGGTTTAGTACTTCAAACGTAAACAGGCCTATTCGTTGACTGTGAATGAGTTCTCATGAATATCCAAATGAGGCAGACAACTGAAAAAGACAACAGTAACGCCTCGTGTGTAGACACATTTGAAAGTGTCAGTAATATTTTTATATTAACAATGGATTACATAAGTACTTCTATCTACACCTCTCTATAGTTCCTTTCGTTTTTGTTCACAGTGTTTTAGTGAAAAAGCTGAAAAACCCACTGTACGCTCTCTGCCCGGCATCTAACTGCAGACAGACACCTGAAAACAGAGCAGCTTCTTCCCAGAGGCTGTGAGAAATTAATCCTCGGCACTGCACCAAAGGGGAATAGCAAGACTAAACTAGAGCTAACAAGGGACAGGTGAAACTAAACTGATAATCAGGGAGCACACAAGTGACAGAAAACTTCAAACTTAAACAGGAAGGAACAAACAAAAAATGAAAGGACTAAAACACAACAGAGAATGGAGATCCATGCAGAGAGTGAGAGTGAAGAGACCGAAACGAGAGGGAAACAAAATAAGTACATAATCTACTAGGCCTACAACAGGAAATGGAGAATAAATGACACAATGACAATGAACAGGAAATAACAAAAGGATGACCAGGGAGAACGTTCAGCTTTTGCTCTTTGGTGTCAGCTGAAGGAGTTTTAAGGGCTGAAAAAAACCACACCGAGGCGGCTACATAAATGTGTGGCAAATAAACGCAGGTCTCAATTAGAAGCCGGGTCCGTTAGTTATAGCATGTATTTAAAAAGAAGTTCTCTGTATGTATAAACCTTCTTAAAAGCCCGCCGGGTAACCTCCTTGAGCTAAGCTGCTTAGATCATGCATACAAATATCTATGTTAGTAAATGTGAAGTTTTGGGCGAGTTGGTGGTGTTTAGTTGTGGACTGTTTTTAACATGGCGGCCTAAATCTATAGCCACTGCATTCATTACTCTACCACAAAAGATTAATCACATGACTGAGTCTGTCTCACTCCATTCCACCAGGAAATATACAGGTCAAAATAGTTTTATTTTTGTATATAATATTTGTACATAATGTTTGCTTTTGTGAGTAGCATAAAGGGAACTGCAAACCTCATCTCATTATACAACCCTGTTGTAAAATCCCAAATAAATGTACCTGGCATCTTGTAACAAGAACATGGCGGAGTATTTAACAGCCACATAGAGCTACAGGTAATTCCCTCAGGAGATGGTAGAGAGAAAAAACAAACAAAAACGAGAGTGAATATTGGACTCACATTCACCAGGTGGCCAGAAACACAACTGCAAATGAATGATAATGTTTCTCTGTGTCTGCTGGATGTCGAAATCAGCATGTGTTTGCTACAAAGTTCATCATATCGAGTTAAAGGTGAAGCTACTTCATGTTAGTGTTGTTTTCACAGCCAAGTGATCATGCAGGGTTAAGTTTGGACCGGTCAGAGATGGTGATTCTTTTAGTCTGTGTTGGTGTTCTACTTATTCTACTGTATACGCTGCCTTATATAAACAGTATCTCCAGCTTGCATATTTCCTCCATCCCTCTTGGTGAATCACACCCCTGTCTCTGAATTATTGAATGTTTCCCTGACTTCATGGCAGAGAAGGACGACTCAAGTTTGAGACTCTGACTTGATTTGACTTAAGTTAGTGTGACCAGACGTCTCCGTTTTCAGGGGACAGTCCCCCGGTTTTGGTGGCGTGCCCCCGTCTGGAGCCGTCCCCGGAAATGTCCCCATTTTTAATGTATATAATAAACATATCTTTTAATGATATACTGACCACCAAATCAAAAATGTCCCCGGTTTTCATTTCAGAAATCTGGTCACCTTAACTTAAGTTGCACACACAGTGACTTCAAACAGACCTGAGGTTAGTGAACATGTTTAACTCAGCATTGGCTATTTAACGTTAGCTTGCTTCGTGCTTCAGCTACGACCTACGAGAGGTTTACTCCGACTGTCGTTCGTTATGAAAAGATGAATGAGCGTTTGTTTACTTGCCAAACTTGTGGTGGTCGTTTAACGTAATCATTTACGTCCCGCTGGCTGCCATCACGTTAATTATTAACGTCGGCTACAAACAGATTAGAAGTTTTTTGTTAATGATGCAGTGTTACAATTTTATTTAGTTATAACTTTATTTCGCCATATTGGCGAGTAAACGTATTTGGTACGATATCGCCATTTAATATCTTTTTGACGGTAGCTAACAGCAGATCAGCGATGTTTTTTCGCACTTAAATTGGTCCCCGCTGCACCCGTGGATCTAAAATCGTGTAACACATGGATTAGGGGCGTTCATTGGTTGATGTTTGTGTTCATTTCAGGTTTCTTGTGTCTGATTGGCGTAGATTTGTAAGGGGGCGGGCGTTAGGGGACTGGAGTCGGGAGCAGTCAAGTCGCACTTCGAGTACCTGGAGTGTTTTTAGCATTTAGCTAACTAGCTACAGGACTAGCTACAGGACTGTTTGTGTTTTTTCTCTCTCTCTCTCTCTCAGTTCTATGAAACAAATAGTAACCACTGTGTATTAAAGAAAAGAAACCGTTTTATGTCCAAAGCGATGCTCTGAACAACAGGATATATCTCAATCAAAGCAGTGATCGTCTGACATAGATCTTACAGTGTGCAGTCTTCATTTGTTCTGCAGAGACTAAAGACGCGTTTAATGCGTCGTTAATGGAAAGTGAAAGTGTATCACTTGCCGGCCTGTGAAAGAGCGACGCAGACTGCTTTCCAACAGGGTCACCAGTGCCATGGTGTGCGCTCACTAGATTTCAGTTGTATTAGTAGAACATACAGCCTTAAACTGAGAAGATATTTGCCTGAATGTTTGCGTCTGTCCAGCTCTGTGACTGCGCGCACAGCCTGAATCACAGCTCATTTCGGTTAATGAAGCAAAATGCAGATTACAGACTGGTTAAGTTATAAAAACGTCTGAATGGAAAATATAGCGACATTAAGAGTAGTCCTACATTAGATGTACCCCCCCCTGCTGCAGTCACCATCACTGCTGCCTGCAGCTAGAAGGAACAGCAGCACAAAAGAGGCAGCTGCACCGGCCTCGACCAGCTTTTTGGTCCCCCCCCCCCCTTCCTCAATATTTCTATAGGCTACATTTTGTCTGCGACTGATGTGGAGTGTGTGAGTGACTGACTGGTCACTTAGTAAACTGCCTCCTATATGAGCCAGCTCTGAAATCTCCTGAGCCAGGAAGGCAATGCGAAATAAAACTTTACATTAGGAAAGAGGGGGGGACGAAACATAGATTTTGAAATTAAATATGTATAATGCCTCCTCTGCCCATCAGGTGATCAAACTCACCACAAATCCACACAAGTCAATTGCAGCTCACGGCTTCTGGTGGAGCAGAGAGGACGGACACAGAGCTACAGCTGGATCATCTTATTCTCCGCTAATTTGCAGGAGAATAAATAACTATCTCTCTCGCTCCCGCGCACGTAACCTTAGCTAAGCAAGTAAAGTTCAATTTTCGGCCTTTTGTTTGTTTTTAAAAAAATCCTTCCCCCGGGATGCCCGGAGCTGACGACGCCGCAGCTTCTAACCTCATATTGGCGTGCGCTTAATGAAGAAGCTTCACATTGCTGGAATCTAACTGTGAAAAGTCTTTCTCTGGTGCTAACCTCAATAATATTGTTCAGACAGGAGAGAGAGAATCAGGTGGAATAGCACAACGAGAGATCACACTAAAATGCATGTCGATGCAATGATATGATTGGCTGATGGAGACAGTTTAGTTAAGAGTTAACGCCCATAGTAATTACAAAGAAAGGAGGAGAAGAGAGTGTGAGAAATGTGAACTAATGAGCAGCCTAGCATAGTCTTCTTGATTGAACTTCATTTATACACTCAATGCCTCCTTAATGAATTACACAATTCAACTTTGATGTTAGTACTTACATATTGTAAAGTACACCCATTGCCAGCTCTAGACAAGGTGGATCCCTTCTCCAACCCACCATATCCCCACCCAAAAAACTAAGAATTGAGTTTTGGGATGAGTTCTTTGCTCAACATAGCTATAATCTCATCCTCTTTAAACCTTTATAGTTCAAGCAGCGGACAGTTTAATGACCGCAGAGTCCAAACCGGCTTTCAGGATAAAACTGTTTATTTCTGGGTGGCAAATATATATACAAAAATTTACCTACAGCAGTAGCCTCTATTGCAGTATGTTAAAATGAATAATATGAATATACTGAAGTTAAAATATTAATATACAGCTCCCACAACTAATTACACAACAAACTCCTCAAAATAGAAAGTATATGCTATTTAATTATACAACAAAAACATTTGCATTAGTCATATGAGGTGTGATGAACCATGGTGTAATCCTGGGGATTTACT